CGGAATCGATCCAAAAACTTATTAACTGTTTATATTTATATTGCTACTGTTGCTTTTTTATTCTTTCTTCTTGTTTTTGCTGGCTATATGTTTGCGTGTATATCTTATTAGGGGAAACAGTATCTAACTTATTCGTATTTTTGAATACCAAATTTTTATGACCCATTCGATCTTTTCTCTGTATGCGAATGTGATTTGAATATGATTGTCTTCTTCTTTTTTCTAGTAAAATAACAACAAGAAAAATACCAAAGCTATGAGAATAAGTTGTCTGATGAACAGATCAATAAAAAATATAAGAATAATAAAATTTCATCATTTCAAAACATTATAATTTAAACTTTAGATGATAAATTAATGTTTGTTGTCTTATACTATTGAATGAATCGTTGTTGATCAACAATAGAACATGAACAAAAAATTTACATAGTTGTTAAACATTGATAAAGAACAATATTAGAATTAGCATCAGTCATACTACAATCTAAGTGAAGTTGATCGGTATTGATATAAAAAAAAAAAAAGTTGATGTATAAGTTCTTTAATTACTACTATTGGTTTTCCTATTGTATATCAGACAAAAAAAACATACTTGTATAAGATTCAATCAAAATATATCCAAATGAATAGAAAAATATCAAATTATCCTTCCTCCTATACCCAGATTTTAGCTCAACAACAAAATAAACTTCGTCTATTTTTCTAAATAATTTTTCAAAGCTCATGTAATTACCATTACTAGATTCGATTGCTATTGAATTCTATTCATGTTGAGCTAATTTAATTGAATTTTTATTTAACTTTAAGGCTAATTTATCAAGTCAATGTTTAATCAATAAGATTAAAATGTTGACTAGAGGTTTCATCAGTCAATATTAAGTAAGAATAATTTATTTAAGATATAGAAGCGAACAAGTTTAGAATTATTATTATCATAAATTCATTCATGCACTCCAAGACACTTAATGAGAAAAACCAACACGGATAATGAGAATATGATCATGAACACGTTTCAAATTTGATCTCATAGAATCTTAGTTATTAGTATACCATAGTGCCATCCAAAATATTAGTCTAAAGATTGCATCCTGGTTGGTTAGGATAAGTCGACCTAAGGCATTCCCCCTTGCCTAACATATCTTTTAAAATATCCAAAATTTATCTATCATTGTTTATAAATTTTTTCTCAAAAATTTTTTCATTATTCCAATTGAGCCATGTAGCAATTGATTGAGATCGACTTGCTTTTCAAAACTATACATGTGTATTTTTTTTCTCTTTAACTTCATTATAGAATCAAAACAGTCCAAATACAGTCTTTTCCAGCATACTAAATCCTTACATGTTTAAGTATTTCGATCAAATATCGAGGTTAAAAAGCAATTATTCAAAATTTTTTCAGATGATTATGTAGCCTATTGAATTTTGCACCAAATCATGTATTAAATGTTGTTTGAAAACTTGTAGAAGATGAGATAACGAACTTCAAGTGTCGAATCTTGACACAGTGTTTTATACATTATAATGAATCTAACATCATATTAAATTTGGGACTTCTTTTATTTTGCAGCATTTTATTGTTGCATTTAAATTATATATCCATCCATAGAACTCAATGTGCCCTACAAAACTGTATATATAATATTTATCTTTGATTTCATCGTAGAATAAAAATAAGTCCAACTACTATATTTTTCAACATACTATACAATTTTGTCTTGTCACTATTTTGATTAGATGTCCGTGTCATAAGATGACTACTAATAAAATAATGATTCATGATGTAATTCGTTCAATTCTACATTAAAAGATGTAATAGGCAGTATTTTGTAATGTTTTCAAGCGAAGATATTCATGGTCGAAAATTGAATCCTACAATCATATGAGTTACTGTGCATTAGTCTGACTATAACACTTTCTTATATTTTCAAGTTTTTTTTTTCGCTTTTTATTTCAATCAAGAGTAGAAGATAATATTTTTGTTATTTTTAGCAATTTGACATTACTTTGTGTAAGCTCGATTAATTAGAGTGAAGTACTATTTTCTGCTGACGAGTCTACTTTCTATTTGTTAACTAATAGTATTGAAAACAATGTGGTTGGCTGCAAAATTTATCTGTTTCATATAAGAAACTTGATCATTGTTTTAACTAATATTTTGATTATATACAGGATGGTCCAAAAGTTACCGGGCAGTCTTAAATTGCGAATAACTTTTGATAGGAACAAGATCTAGACCTGTGGTGTTCACTATTCGAAAGAGCGATGTTCGAACCATCGATTTATATAATATTCACTAAGGTGACAGATGCTTTTTCATAGGAGCTTTTTAATTGACATTCTTTTTTTTTGTGTATTTTCATAAATTTTCACACTAATCTCGTCTCAAATTACTCCAAAATGTAGCTCAAATCACCCATTTTTCGCTATAAAATGATCACTATTTTTCGAAGGCTCACTTGAGAAAAGAGGTCGACGGAATAATGCATAAAGTTATAATTTTATAGCGAAAAATGGGTGATTTGAGCTACATTTTGGCGTAATTTGAGACGAGATTATTGTGAAAATTTATGAAAATACACAAAAAAAGAGAATGTCAATTAAAAAGCTCCTATGAAAAAGCATCTGTCACCTTAGTGAATATTATATAAATCGATGGTTCGAACATCGCTCTTTCGACTGGTGAACACTGCAGATCTAGCTCTGGTTCCTATCAAAAGTTATTCGCAATTTAAGACTGTCCGGTAACTTTTGGACCACCCTGTATATATTTGTGATTTTCACCAAACAAATTTAATCGATGTAAACGTGGCTATCCATGTGGGTTTAATGGATACAGATGCGATTGCATGGTCTAATACATTTACAAAGGTCATCAGATAGGTTCGATACAGTTTGCCAAGATGGAAATCAGGATAGTTTGACTAAGAGTCTTAGAAAAAGAACGAGCTAGCTTCAAGGTGAACAGAAAGTCTTCTTAGCTGGACGCTCTAACACTCAAGCTCAAGCCGTCAACTTAACTTTCGCAGGCTCGCCTTCAATCACACTCCTTCAGATATTTAAGAATATTTCTGTAAATATTCATTTGTTCGGACTTGACTTCTTCCTCAACGTATACGGGACATATGGGCGGAGCGAAGGAATCCAACAGACGTATGAGATGATTGTACGACAAGTTTGACATGCTTATACATTTGCCTGACTTTAGTTACCATTTTTCAAGTAAAATGATCTTAACATAAATGAAAATGCAGTTTCATTGGCTGAAACAAGTCATGTGTATCTTTCCTGTTTCCTTTTTTATTTCTTTCAGTGTTGTTGAATTTGATCATAAACAACTGACATAATATTTATATGTAGCATAAGCTGGCAACCCACCGACAGTCCGTAGAAAAAGAGGAAAAAAGAGAAACGTCATTTGCAGAAAAAAGAGGATTTTCAATAAAAAAGAGGAAAAAAGAGGAGCATTTTTTCGCTTCTGAAATGCGAACAAAGGCTGCCACAGGGTTCAAAAGTCAATAAATTAGAGCACCATTAATCTGGATTCAACACAGACTTGAAAAACTCGAAAGATGGAAACGATATTCAGTTCTTGACATTTGCGGTCGTGTTTTTTCTACCGAGCTCAGAAAAAGAGAACTACAAAAAAGAGACAAAAAGGACAGAGTCTACTTCAAAAGTATTTGACTGTGATATCACTTTATCCGAATACTCGTAGACAAAGAAAAGGTAATTAAAAAGAAAATCACTGAATATTCAGAATATGTTCAGTTTATAAAAGCACGAGAACTTAAAGAGCTAACATAAACAAAAGAAGACGTAATAGACCGTGCATATTTATAAGAGAAAAAAAATATCACAAATTCAATTCAAAACAAAGCCTTCAAGGTTTTTTTCTCAAATCTGTAACAAGAATTTCGACCGCGTTATCGGAAGTTCTTCCTGGAAACAGAACAGTATTAATTCTGATGAATTATAAAGGCCTAATATAACTTGGAATTCAATTGGAACTGAATAATATACAAAAAAATTGTACTTAAAAAAAATTTGAATCTTGAGTACACTACGGTTCAGTTTTCACGATTTTTCATAAAATTCCTCTAAGAGTAAGAAAACTATACCTCTTGAAAGTTACATGACGGAGCGAATTTTTACAAAATTTGTTAGAGGTTATCACTAATTCATCTTCGAGGCGACCAGAGATGCAGAATCTACTGCTGTGTGCGAATGGGCATTTGGGAAACTTTTCTTCTGGCGAAATTTTTGGAGCTTTTCGAGAAAAATCGTGTTTTGTTGCTTCACTAACCGGCTACGTCTTAAAAACGATTTCCCCATCCAAGAAAATTTGATCACTTTGACGAAAGATTCCGCAGTTCTGCAGTCGAGATTCTTGAATTTCAACTATCGAAAATCGTGTTTAAGTTCATGCTCGAAGCTACCTTGTTGTTCCGTTCAAGCACCAAGTTTTCAAACTTTTATGTTTGCACATACATAAATCTACCGGAATTCATTTTAGTATTTCTAAATTTTGACTTCAATAAATATTGATTTTAGCTAATCCGATTAAATACCAAGCCAAAATAATTTTACTAACAAAACGTTTCGGAATGGAATTAGTGTCTATTTGACTCTCTCAAGGCGTACTCAGGGTCAATTTTCAACCTTGTTATTGACCTTATTGGTTAAATGCGTATTAATTCATCCAAATAAGTCAACATTATCGGCTATTTTCTTTTAACGCCTAATTTTTCCCAAAAAAGAGGAAAAAGAGGCGGAGTGGGAAGCCAGATGTTATTCGATCAGACTCATATTGTGAAAGATCACCAACTGAATCTTAACAATTTCGTGCTATAATCCAGTCCGTGTCATTGACATATGAAACAATAACCAAAAATCACTGAACATTTTTTCTTGAATTTCTCAATCGACATACGAACTCTCTTAGCACAAACTATAGTGTAATGTCGCTATCACACAAAAACAGTCCACTATAATAAAACTCACTCTAAAAATTCTTTTAATTTTTGTTCAATTAATCGTTTTTGTTGATTAATTGAATGAGCATGTTGTTGAAGATAAAAACGATCATCACTTGTTTTAGCAATATTTTGTTGAAAACTATATTTACGTAACCAACGATCATGTTGATAGTTTGAATTTATTTTATTTATTGATGATCGTTCTTTAATTGGTATTATATGATTCCGTGATATTTGACTTCGATTTATCAATGATGAATATCGAGGAACTGATGTGGGTTTTTCCATAATACATATCGATGAGTTTTCTTCTGTGATTAATGATAAACGTAGTTTTGGATTTTCAGATGAATTTTTATTTTGATAAAGTAATGAAGATTGACTAATCGCAGGTGATGATGATGATGATATTTTAACTGGATCACGATTGAGATGTATTAAATCACGTTCAACATCAAGTTTGTCACTTCGTAAATGTTGTAGTTCTTGTCTAAATAGAGGACCATTGGAAGAGAGATTATAATCACTTTCTTCTTTCATATGAATTCTGATTTATTTATTTAAAAGAGTACGTTAACAATATCTATTCCTTCAGTCATCCGAACACATATATTCTGCAGAAAAATTATTCCTTGGATAGTAGACAAAGAAAACGAGCATTTCAGTTCTGTTGCCTATTGAGTATAGTGCGAAGTTAATCAATTTATGAAAGGCTTCAATAGTTATTAGATACTTGATGTTGTTGAGTTCCGAATAAATTAAAAATTGAATATAAAAGAATTTTTCTTTCTTCAGTTCGTTCACGTTTTGCTGAAGCCAATATTTATCTATTTACAGTACTCATGTATTCTTCTGACTTTTGACAGACTCGAAATGGATTTAAACTTGCATGAAAAATATGATTATGTATATATCAAAATTCTGAGTAAAATTTACTTAAAATTATCGTCTTTCATATATTCTTTTATAAAATATTTTTTTCTCAAAATAATAACAACATATCACGATAATTTATTACACTACAAGATGTGTGAAACACACTTTTTTTCACGAGATTTTATTTAAATTTCTCACAAATTCAATTCAAATCACATCTTTCTTTTGTTTACGAAATATTACACTAAAATATTATTTCATGGGATATTTTTTTTAAACATTATCAAAATTAGAAACGAGAATAATGAGCTTTCTCACGCAATGGAATTCAAATCTTTTCCTAGCAAAACTTAAAAAAATCTTTGTAAGAGTCTTTTCATTTACACTAAAAATAGTAACATTGCATTTCTAGAGTTCTGATGCCATAAATGTTCCACTGTTTTTTTTTCCCTCATAATAAGAACAGCAGCAATTAACTTTCAAATAAGATATTTTTATTTTTCTATTTTTGACTTCTAAATCTTAATGCAATTCTAATTATATATTGAGTACTTGTCTAATAAAATTTACTTGCATCGTCCATTTAAACCTCCGGATTCAGTACGATTATGATTGAGTTTTCGTTGATAAATTTTCTTTGTCGTCCCTCGTCTTAAATTCATTTGATAAGTTTGTTGCATCGTTGGTACAAATTTCCCCAACCGATATTTTATTTTTCCAACATCTTCATGACATTGATCACGTTTAACCGTATTATAGGGTATCCTACGTTCAAATGGTTTTGATCCGACGTTTCTTTTTATAAGAACACTGTTGATCGCACTATGCAACATTTTTTTGTTTGAAAAATTTTTATTTTTCTCTCAATTGTGTTGTTGTTCGTATTCTTACTGTTGTTTTTTTTCTTTCTCTCCCTCCCTCCCACGATCTCTCTCTCTCTCTCTCTATGCTATGCTTTCCATCAATTTCTCATTCTTAATTGAAACACTAGATTCGAGTGACGACGATAATTAATTGCACCAAACATATTACTCATTCGTCAACACTGATAAAACGCGTAACAAATAATTAGCAGAACATGTTAATGAATGAATAAGCATAACAGATGAAAATAACAATATCAGTCTAATTTTTTTATGACAGTCAATGATGTTCATTATATTCATGACTGAATATAAAACGTCATCATTTTTCACTTCTTCACAGCATAGACACGAAGTATTCGAGCAGTACGAATAAATAACATACGTAACAATGATAAACAATGAAGAATATATTTTCAATTATGATGAAATCAAACGAAAATTCGAAAGTGTACCACAAACAAATTCAATGACAAAAAAGTTAAAGTCAACGTCATATAAAACATATTTTCAACCTCGAACAAAATCAATAATCGGAAGAAATGATATACGATCAAATATGCATTCATTGATGGCAAATAAGATCCAAAAATCTGAGACATTGTCAATACCAAGAGTGACTTTACAAGTACATATTATTAAAGTACAAGAAATGAAGCCAATTGAACAATTTATTCTAAAAACTCAGCAACGATTTCATTTAATGCTTAATCATAAAAAATAAGCAGTTTTTTATATTATATCCGATTTTTCATGTTCACATATAGTCGCTGTGTTATTAAATTGCCAGCTGATTTGTTTAATAAAACGTTATGACTTTTCATTAAGAATAATCTGTACAATTGGTACGGATTTCTTTCAAGAATTTCTCTCATACATAAGATTGAATAAAGGAAAAAAATAGGCACCACTTTCTATAACGTAAATAAAAATAGTAGTAAAAAAGTAATTATTAGTGAACCATCGAAGTATTAACTCATATTGTGTATGATGAATGTCTTTTAGTATCTTACTCTCGATATACAAATTGGTTTTCACTATATTAGAATTGGACAGCATTACAAACAACTACAAATGCGATTATTTTATAAGTATTGGTTTGAATACAATTATAAATATGCTGAAGATTTTTTTATGTGATCAATTGAAGCTGATTAAGAAAAAGACACTGACGATAATTTGGCATTGTAATATTTTATATTCGAACATTTTAAGAATATTCTACTTTACAACAAGACATACTTGTATAGCAATAGAATTACAATTGTAAGGGATCAACTAATTCAGTCATTTGTCAGTTTCTTAATCATATAGGATTTTTGATCTAGATTTTATATGTAATTAATGTTGAAGAATGGCGTGATTTATGCAATGATACTTTGTAGCTTTCGCAAGAAATCTATTTTGATGTTCTATATCATGTGAAATGATATTATTTAGAATCGATTTCATTTCAATTTATCAACTTTTTGTATTCTGACAATATAGCAAGGTTCTAAAAATGATGATTTATCCACTTTCAAGAGCATATCCAGAAAGTTTTGAAACTAATGACGAACGAGAGCAAGTTTTTCACAGTTTTCATGATGATTTTTCTTATATTTTCTATTATTAACAATGCAAATATATGCTACGATCTATGGAAAAAAGAAAACAACTAAGAAACTAATCATACAAGACATTCTATTTTCTTACTTTGACGTTTTTGTGAAGTTGTCAATGACTTGTTCAATTTCTATGTAAATGATGAAACTCTCATACATCATTGCTAATCCGTTCAGTTGGTTTTCAGTCATGTTACTTTGAAGATATAATTTTATCAGCTTTAATATTGAAAAACCTTCTCTCATCTATGGTTGTTGTTACCGATAGCGCTGCATAAATTTGAAAAGGGACTTTGATATTCGGGAAGTAGATACTAGTGCATTGAAGATGATTCCGAACATGAATTACGTAAATGTTTTTACTAATTCGCATATTTATTAACCATTGTCAGAGTGAGCAAAAATGAGTCGTTAACATGACTGTTGATTATTTTAATGTTTTGTTCTACAAATACCCATAAAGCTATTTGACAACAATAAAAGTTATATGTAATGAGAGAAAAGTATTTGATAGGATTACTAACACTCTTAAGAAAAAATATATATAAGTTATTTTCTTTGTCTGGTATTGTTCATTTCAGAATGAAAACATTTAAAAATTAAAAAATAGTGAGAAATGCACACAATTTGTTTTTTTTTTAAATCTCATAGAAATAAAAAGATACTTCAAGATAAAACATACAATCAATTTAAATTGAACATACAGTCACCATCCCCACCTCTTCCTGAATTCCTCACTATCTGTTCCCATTAACCAAAGATCAATTGTCAAGACCAAAACTTCACCATCCTAAAATCATGACATTTTTCTTTCAGTTTTTTTTGTGATTGATAGTATTATTAAACAAAAACGAAAGGCTTTTACGATTGGGCATGAAAAAACTTTGAAATGGTTTTATTTCTTGTTTGAATAATGCGTTCAAAATGATAAAATCAAAAGCATTGCATTTTCTATTAAATAAGGATGATAAACAAAAGATTGTAATAGATTACACTTGAAAAGTAACTAGGTCATTTATTTTAATCGTCTTTATCTCAGTCAGATAGACATTTTGACATATTTCAGTCTGAGTCTAACTTCACTTTTGAATCGATGTGTCAACAAAAATAATAGAATATCTTTAAATTTTTTATCTGTTTAATATTCACATTCATAGAAGAAGATAATCGTGTTGATAAAATTCTGATTCGAATATTTCTATTAAAATTTTAGCCTAATTTCACGAAAACATTCAAGTCTTATTTTGTGCTGATTCAATGTTGATATAATAGGTTTTTAAAAAGAATCTATTTTGATTTGTTCGAAATACGAACGATTCATAGTTCTAGAATTGACTAGTCACAATAGACAGTCATGATTACACTTAGAAAAATATTTAACAAATAATCGACTGATAGCAGAATGTATCCCGTAATATTTTGTATTTTTATTGGTATATTTCAAAACTTGGCAATCATGAATACAAATCACTTTGGAATAGTTAAATGTGTAAAAGCTGAAAAAAGATTTCAATTGTTTCACATTTTTTCTAATTCTATTGTTTTTTTTTCGTAAAAAAACTTTTACGATATTCATTTGAACTCACATACACTTTTAAATACTTCATGTTTTTCGATAAAATAATCGTAGAGAAATAGACAAAAATGTCAAAGAAATAAAATCAGAATGTTCTATAATTTTTTTATGTAGAATATATTATATCTTATGTCAGATCTGATAATCATAAATCCGACATAATTTTAGAAAAGATCTGCAAAGAAAAAGCAATTTCAGTAAAGTAATTATCTTGTTGAAAATTTATTACAGCCCGTACAAGCAAGGAAAAATTTACTGGAAAATCGAAATCGGCTGTTTCATAGAATAAAAAAAAAATTCTGCATAAAACAAACTGCAAGTAAGTTGATAAATTATCATTGTAGGATTGACCAAAAGTAAACTATATTGAAAACAAAAAACAAACTAGTCTTGAGACGATAGAAAATTTCAATTATTTTGAATAGAATGAGAAGCCAACACTTACGGACACTAATCTCAATATTCCCATTGAAATCTTATCTAGAGTGAAATATAATTAACGTTGAGATATGACTTGACTTATGAAATTACACTTTTGTATCTTTCTCAAGAAATTATTATTTTATATTCTTTATGACATGAATAACACTATTCAGCATAAATTTGATTTCATTCCAATAGACTGATATATTTTAATATGAATATGGAAATTCGAAAGTGATGATTAAATCTATTTTATATTGACGACAAAATAATTCTCGTTTCTTACATCACCATTAATGACGAATTCTTTCTTTAATTATGATTTAGAAATGATTTAATTACATCAGAAAAGATTCTCTGTTCAAAAGCAATCAATATAAATTAAAAATAGAAGTGTAATTCAATCATGATAGGTTATCTTAGAACAAAAAAAAAAAACAATAGTTCTATGACTCAGTTCCTATCTTATTTATTGTCTTCGTCATGTTAACTTTTAACATTCGTTTTGTCAATTACTTAAATATCACACATGTCTAATGTCAAATGACATGCGAACTGAAGAGGTTAAGATAAATATAAGCACTCTATCTGATATCTCGCTTAATTGTATACCATAAGTTGTTTAATGCATTTCAAAATAGTTTTGTACCTATTTGCATTTTGAATCATTAAGTTTCTGTCGTATGTATTCGAACAACTTCTAATTTTTTTTTTTTGTTTATTTATATGCCTATTAAAGACCATATGAGGATCTTAAGATTGTTGTGGATAAGAAAATATCTCGTTAGAACAATAGAAATTTAGAAAAATCTTGTTAGTTTTTTACTGGACAATTATGAAATAATTTTCAATTATTAGGAAATGTGTCCTATTTATACACTTTCACGTCTTCTGACGTCAATAACCATATTTCATTTAGCTTTGGATATGACACAAAAAAAAAAATTCTTTTCTGTAGACGACGATCAATCATCTTATGAAAATAAGGTTCTATCATGACATTTCAGTTAAAAATCTGAGATAAAAACATATTCTTAATCACATTCAATTATGAAAGCAAAAACATTTGTTGTAAAGCAAAACAACTATGGAATTATCATTTTGGTATGTTTTTTTGACTCGCTATTTGCTTATGCTTTTGTTCTTTCATATCTAATATCCCTATCAAATAGTCAATGTTTTACACAAATTTGTTTATGAAATTATGTAAGAAAAGCATATGTTTTTGTTTTAAGTTCTTTGATACAAACAGTAGAGATAAAATTTTCTATTTTTTTGATAGTTTATTGATAAGTATCAGCAGTTGAATTCAGATAGTTTTATTAAAACAATCTAGATATAAAATGTTCTATGTAAACTTATTCTAT